CCAGAAATGAATCCCCATACCTATGGTCACTTGATCTTTGACAAAGGAGCTAAAACCATCCAGTGGAAAAAAGATAGCATTTTCAACAAATGGTGCTGGTCCAACTGGAGGTCAGCATGTAGAAGAATGTAAATTGATTCATACCTATCTCCTTGTACAAAGCTCAATTCCAAGTGGATCAAGGACCTCCACATAAAACTAGCTACACTAAATCTAATAGAAGAGAAATAGGGGAAAAGCATTGAGCACATGGGCACAGGAGAAAAGTTCCTGAACAGAATACCAATGGCTTATGCTCTAAGATCAAGAATTGACAAATTGGACCTCATAAAACTGCAAAGCTTCTGTAAAGCAAAAGAACACAGTCAATAGCATAAAGCAGCAACCAACAGATTGGGAAAAGATCTTCACCAACCCTACATCTGATAGAGGTCTAAAGCAGCAACCAACAGATTGGGAAAAGATCTTCACCAACCCTACATCTGATAGAGGTCTAATATCCAAGGTATACAAGGAACTGAAGAAATTAGACTCTAGATAATCAAATAACCCTATTAAGAAATAGGGCACAGAGCTGAACAAAGAATTCTCAACTGAGGAAGCTCGAATGTTTGAGAAGCGCCTAAAGAAATGTTCAGCATCCCTAGTCATCAGGGAAATGCAAATGAAAACAACACTGAGATTCCACCTCACACCAGTCAGAATGGCTAAGATCAAAAATACAGATGACAGCAGATGTTGGTGAGGATGTGGAGAAAGAGGAACACTCCTCCATTGTTGGTTGGATTGTAAGCTGGTACAACCACTATGGAGAGCAGTCTGGTGGTACCTCAGAAAATTGAACATAGTGTTACCTGAGGACCCAGCTATACCAATCCTGGGCATATACCCAAAAGTCATTTCAACGGACAACAGGAACACATGCTCCACTATGTACATAGCAGCCTTATTTATAATAGCCAGAAGTTGAAAAGAACTCAGATGTCCTTCAACAGAAGAATGGATGCCAAAAATGTGGTACATTTATACAATGGAGTTCTACTCAGCTACTAAAAACAATGAGTTCATGAAATACTTAGGCAAATGGATGGAGCTGGAAAACATCATCCTGAGTGAGGTGACCCAATCTCAAAAGAACATACATGGTATGCACTCACTGATAAGTGGATATTTACCCAAAAGCTCACAATATCTAAGACACAATGCATAGATTACATGAAACTCAAGAAGAAGAAGGAAGACTAAAGTGTGAGTGCTTTGGTCCTTTTTAGAAGGAGTATCAAAAGTTTCAACCAGAGCTCCCAAAGTCTAAACCTCCAGCCTGAGAGCAGAAAGAGAGGGACTCATGTCTCCACCTGTAAAGGTAATTGAAGGTGGCCTTGTCAGACATCAATGGAAGTTGAGGGCCATGGTCCCTGAAAGTTTGGATTCCCTGGTCTTGGGGAATTCGAGAGCAAGGAGATGGGACTTGGAGGATGTTCGGAGCACACCCTCATAAAAATAAGAAGAGGGGGTTCGGGATAAGAGGTTTGGGGGGAGAATGGGAGAGGAGATAACATTGAAAGGTAAATACATAAAATATCCAATTTAAAAAAAACATAATGGGTCTGGCAAAAAGTTTACTTATTTCAAATTATTTTCCAAAGTTTCTAGGAGATGCTAATTGGCTAAGATCTTATTTTAAGCTCTCCACAAAAGAATTTAAGTCTCTGTTTAATATTCTCAAGAGATATGTAAATCCTAATTTCCCTCAACAACTGATTGACAAAAGAGGAGTAATCTCACAAAAAGTAGAATAAGCTATTATTAATTGATATATTATATAGTCTGATTAGTTATTGGCTGTTCTATAACAGTCCTTTGATAAAAGAGATTATTAATATAGAGTTATATTTCTTTAAATAGTGTCTTCATGACTCTCTGAGTGTGGAAGGAGTGGCTGCTGGCACTTCTGCCCTGATTTTACAAAAACTCTGAAAAATTGGCTTTAAAAACAAAAGAGGGGGAATGGTACCCCCCAAAAGGAGTCTCCCAAAATACTCTCCATCATGCCTTGCTCACTTTTAACTCTCTAAAACTGAAAGCTCATGGCAAATCTGCTGCTGACTTCCTCTGGCATCACTGAGACCAATAAAAACTATGCCACAGCTATGTGGAAGGACTCTCTTACCCTTAAAGGGAATGGCCCGGACCTAGTTCTCTTATTGGGCCAAGGATTGTTATGCCTGTTTGATACCTCAGAAGGCACAGCTAAATGGCTGCCAAAAAGATTAATGAAATAAATAGATACCCCCACAAAGCCAGGCCCAACCATAAATAAGATGAATAAAATTGACAATCAGGGAAGAGAAATCTCCCTGAGAATTCCCTTCTTTTTCCTTTCCAGGTAAAAATGAATCACCCGTGATGCCTGCAGTTAGAAGTTCTAATCCAGATGCTGGCCTCCAAACTTATACTACTCAGACCTTTGATGGGCCATTGACAAGAAAATCAAACAGCTAGAGCTCGGCAGCATTAATCAGAAGAAATCCCTAGTTTCCCTGTCTGAAGAGACCTCCCAAAATTGCAAAGGATTTTATTGGACTTGATTTACTCTTTTACAATAGAAAAGACTGTGTACAGCTCTTGACTGTGTACAGCTCTTAAATAAGAATGTTGCCTTTACATAGACAAGACAGGGATGGTTAAAGAGAGCATGAAGAAGGTCAGAGAAGGCCCTGAGAAAAGACAGAAAGAGAAAGATGAGAGCTGGTACAAGAATTGGTTTTCAACCTCTCCATGATTGTCAACCCTATTTCCTCTCATCTTGGGACCATTAATTGGGTTATTTTTGCTTACTTCTTTTGGTCCCTAGGCCCTAAATAGGCTGACTAACTTTGTGAAACAACAGATAAATAATTTGGTAGCAAAACCTATTCAGATACATTATCATAAGTTAGCTATGGAGGACCACGAGATTCAAGATGAAGTTGTTACTCTATCCAGGGTGTTCCTAAAACCCAACTCCACCCAACCTAAAAGAGGGGACCTCTGCCCCTAGACCAAGCAGAGAGGGGCCACACAGAACCCCCTCTGACTGGTGATCTGAATTCTTGCTTAGGCTCTTAGGCTAAGCACTGCAAGGGAGTATAAATAAAAGTTAAAAATATCTCTCTGGGTTCCTGAGGGACAAGCCTGACTGCATAGGGGTTGATGTCAAAAGTATCCCCTCTCCAGGAAAAAGACATCGGGATGGGTATGGCCTTCATGCCTCACTGGACAATGACAGGGGGACCGGAAACATTACAAGGTCCCCTTCAATTACTGGAGGTCAGGCCTCTATCCCCGCCTTCACAAGATTAGAATCGCCACAGCCCTTCTATACTTAGAGAAGGGAGGAGATGTCAGGGGCAGCCCTGCTTATACACTGAAGGCCTAAAATCAGCCATAGGCCTAAAATCAGCAATAGGCCTATCATACATATATACTAACACCAAGTCTTAGGTCTCTGTGGAAAAACACTGAAACAGATGGCTATCAGCTATTGTAAACAGGCAGCTTTTGTGGGAATTTACCAGCCTGAGTTGTCGTAGACCTTGTAAATAGGTAGCCTTGGCAGATAATACCAATGTAGATAAGGACAAGTGAATCATAGGCAGAGTCACAGTGACTTGTCCCCTGAACCTTCACCCAGCCGATACTCTGTTCTGAAAGATATCTGTACTCCCTCTGAACACCCATGCTCAGGTGTCATCCCCTTCCCCATGTCCTGCCTTTTTGTGTTTATAACCCCTGTGTGAATAAGTAAAAATTACAATTTGATTTAAAAAAAAGCATAAACCAGAAAAAAAATAATACTCTGAAAGGTCAGGGTGGGATGAAATATTTACCGACTATATGTCTAATATGAAATTATATATATGAAAACACTACACTTCCAGAACAAAACAACAATGAATAAACAACCTAATTAAAAAATAGGCATGGGCCTATGAAAAGGTCTTGTTAAAAGAAGATCTATCTCTGCAAGTAGGTGCATCACCATAAGGAAAATCCAGATTGACCTTATGGGGATGGTGGGATGAACTATGTCTTGATGATAGATAAATAGACGTATATATTTTGTCAAAACTTACTTCATGGCAAACTTAGAATGGATGCATTTGATTATTTAAAGTTAAAAGCAAGCAAGAAACAAGCAAACAAACACTCCACCCAGCACAACCTAGACTGGTATTGTAAATTGGAAAGCAAGGTCAGGAGCTGCCCCATACCACTCAGAATCCTGGTGTTCTGAGATACCTTTCTGTTAAGTATTAGTCCATTCTGATGTAAAACAATACAAAAGGGCATTGATATAGGTATTAATATGAGTATTAATTAAGTTGCACCCAATGATTACAATAATATTTAACATTATAAACAATCGACAAAGGTATAAAGTATAAAATTTCAACTTTACTATGGTTTTTCTACAAAGTCCTGTATTTCTCTTTTTATTTTTTCAGGAAAATTAAGAATTAGATATGGACAGAGATAACTGAGGACAGTATATACAACAAGAAAGGAAAGGAAGTTAAGCTTAAAGACTAAAGTGAGCATCAATTTTAAGCTCAGCCCCCTCTGACATTCCTAAATTTAGGAGTTTCAGTGTGGTATCAGCATATTGCTTCTGTAAAATGTGGGGTGGTGATCTCAGTGTGGAGGCAATAGTACCAACTTTTGTGCTGTTTGTACTCTTAGAGGTGGAAGGAGACAAGAAAATCAGGATTGCTGGAAGCTTGTAGGCACAAAGGCCTTGAGTATTCAGTAGTGAAGAGCAGGAGAGACCTTTTCTCAAAACAAGGGACAAGGTAAGGACCAATATCTGAGGTTACTCTCTGACCTCCACCCTTACTCTGTGGCATGAGGATGCCTGCTCCCCATCCCCCACACATACACACTCAAGCATGCATCCAAATGCATCTGCACATGCAGATACACACACACACCCTCAGTTCTCATGACAACCTTGGGCTCACCTCTTTTGAACCAGTCCAGCATCTGATTCTTAAAAATATAATAGTGACAGAGATGCTGAGCTCTACAATGGTGATGATTAATAAGATTGACAAAATTCCCTGTAAATAAGAATGAGAAAGAAATCATATTTTGGACAAAAGTGGCATCACTTTAAAAACAGAAGCTGAGAACATTTTATACCTTATGACTGAGTTTGTGAAAACTCATATTCGTGTTGTTCTGTAGCTATTAAATATTGCATCATTTTCATGTCTTTTGAGCAAGGAGAAGGTAACAAACTCCAATGTTCATAGGGCTACGATAGTTTCTAGAGTGAAAGAAGGGGTATAGTAGAGTGCAGTAGCATTCCTATAAGCATCTGCCATTTAATTACAATGAATCGTTTTGTTTTGGACTACAGCAATCCAATGTCTGCTCTTTCTTGCCCAAGGAAGCTGGATATGCACATTGTTTGGATGGAAAGTTTCAGCTATGTACTCACCTATGTTAGTCAAATAAAACAGCCCTTCAAGATGAATCTAGTACACAGGTTGGCATTTTGTAGGCACTACTTTAAGGTAATGTTTTGATTGAGAGACAAGATGGTGCAGTGTGGTATTCAAAAAAGCTTAAATACTAGATTTGTACCAGCAAATTATACCAGCAAAAGCTGGGTACAATTGGGCCCAAGGTCATACCTATCCTGGGAAAGTGACTAAGGCTCTCTGAATCTCAGTTTCCTCTGAACACATGCAGAAGCTTAGATAACTGTCTTGTTGCTAAAGCTGAAGTGTATGCACTCTGCTGTGGGGAGTTCCCTGGCTTCTGCCTTTCCTAAAAGGAGAGAACTGGCCCTAGTCCTTGTGAAACTCCCATATTCCTTTGGACAAAGTAGCACAGGACTTCATTCTCCTATAATTGTTTTCTGACTTCCCTTAGGAGCTCAGGTCTGATTCTGGAATTTATCTCAGCGCACACAAAGGTCCTTTAGTTCACTTCAATGGGTGATTGCAGGGATCAAATCATAGGAGATAATTTCCTGTGATTCTACTTCACTTTTGTCATATTGGTTCACATTTTCAAAGTCTAGGACCCAAGTATTCAAGATGTCACTATCAGAAAGAGAGTAAAGCTCAGACTTTGCTTTGGGATCAGAGGAAAGGCCTATTGGAATATTTGACATGATTGAAAGTGATGTCAGGGCTGGCCTGATGACTTGGCATGTATAAGCATTTGCTACAAAGCCTTACAACATGAGTTTGAGCCCCAGGATTCACATTTTTGAAGAAAAGAAGTAATTCCTGCCAGATTTTCTCTGATGTCCACTTATAAGCTATGGGATTGTAACCCACACACACCTCTAGTAAATTAGTGTAAAAAATGATAAATGTAATTATAATGTCAGATATTACTTGTACAATTAGATAGACTCTTAAACTCTTAACTATAAGTAGGGGCAAGAGAGATGACTTAGCAATTTCGAATGCTGGCTTTCTCCAGAGGGACCTGGGTTCAATTCCCAGAACCCACATGGTGGCTCATAAACATCTGTAACTCCAGTCCTCAGGATCCAATGCTATCTTATGACCTCAGAGAACATTAGGCATGCATGTGATGCACAGTCCCACATTTAGGCAAATCACTTACATACCTAAAAACAGTAAGATAAAAATTTATGTATAATTGTGTTTCTTGGTAAAGGAATTTATCATTTACCCTATTGATTTAAAACTTATATAATTACATATAAAATAGTTTGTTTTAAAATTATTTAAACAGCTCACTGAAATACTTTATTCCACTGTATTTAGTTTCATGCCAACAGAGCAGTGTCTTGATCAGTAAAATGGTAAAATTGAATACAAACAATGTGATAATAGTTATACTAGCTAAAGCTATTGGATGTTAGTAGTTGGCAGGTATCATTTGAAGTAATTTTTAGCATAGCTCAGTGACACATATAATATTAATATTTTAATTTTTTACAGGTGGAAAACCAAGATGTAGAGACCTTGCAATGTTAGGCCAAGGTCACAAGCTCCTGGAAAGGAGCTAAAAGTAGGATTAAAAATCAAGAGATGATGTTTCCAGAACCATCTATAATTCCATAATACATAAAGTCAGGATTAAAGATCAACTCATCATTGTGTCATGGGCAAGGCTTGGCTAAGGTTACTCAAACTCCTCATTTGGAATCAGATCACTCACAAGGAAAAATGTTCTGCCCACAATACACGGTCCTTCAGGGGAGACTGCCTGGCAGAATTTGTGCTGCTCTGTAAGGCTGACGAGGATCAAAGCAATCCCAGCTAATGCAGTCAACAAGCTGAGGATATTCATGGTTGTGACGTCTTGCTTCTGAAAAACAGATGACATGATAAAACATGATAAAGCAAGTAAAAACTAAAGGTAAATATACCTTGTAGGAAATTCTCAGAACTCTTCTGCTTCTAGAGGCCTCATTAGATCCATGTGATTGGAAGACTTGACAAGCTCAGTTCTGACTGGTTATAGTCAGAAGGCAAAGTAAACTATAGAAGGGGGAACAATAACCTGTAGTTAATGCTACTAAAATATTCATCTCATCTCAGCACCAAACTATTTTTTATAACCTGGAAGGAACTGGTATCTATCTTGTATTTAAGCTGAGTCTCAATTTCTACCTTAAAAAATGGGAATGACTTTAGTGCAGTATTTAGTTCCTAAATAATGTATACTCAATATGTCTCATCACCACATTAGGCCCCAGATATATAAAGACTCTTGTGGGACTTGACAGCTCACCATCACATGGCTCACTTATCTTCCCCAGGAAGATCAAATGGTGATTAACAAAATCAGCAATATGGTTAAAGATAGTAAAACTTGGACTAGGGGTTAAAGATGCATTTTTTATAATCTCAGTACCTCAACATGGGAGGCAAAAAAAAAAAAAGTTGATTGCTCCACTTAATTTCCTTCAATTAAAAAAATATTTTTTTGAGAATTTCCTATATGAATATTGTGTTTACAACATTCCTTTCCCTCTAACTTGTCCTGGGTTCCCCTCTCATTCCTCAAATTCATGGCTTCTTATGAGTTAAGGATTACTTTTTACATATATGTACATAAAGTTTATAAACACTAACTGTTGCTTATTTGTTTATTTAGTGCTAAACACTTGGGTTTGGATCATCTACTGGAGTAGACTGAGTTTCCCTATTCAGCTGGCATTAATTGTTCATAGTTCTTTATCTGGGGGTGGGTCCTTAATAATGTTTTTCATTCATGTTGGCATGTCAGTTGATGTTATTTTTCAGATCTTATTTAGGTAACCATATTGTTGAGATCATGGGTACAGATTCCCTGTCGTATACAGAAGATGCAGTCTTGCAGTAGATACCCTGGACCTCTGGCTCTTAAAGTCTTTTTACCCCATCTTCCCTGATGTTCTCTGAGCCCTTAATGTAGGGGTTGTATTGTAGATGTATTGGTTGATGTTGGATACTCTCTGCTTAATTCCTTTTATTTATTCCCAGTATGTTTGGAGGGAGAGGTATGTGTGTCTGGGCTTTTTACAGGAAAGATGTGTGTGTGTGTGTGTGTGTGTGTGTGTGTGACACATTATTTTCTTCATATTCATTTTTTCTTCTTAAAAAGGAAGTGTTATTTCAGCCCATACCTACTGTACTTTTGTTTGTTGTGTTATGTCTGCTGAAGTTGGAAATGAAGCTATGTATTTAGACAACCCATCTTTTCTAGAGCTGTGTGTAGCCTATTGTAGCAAGACTGGGAAGTATACTTGTGACTGTTCATCCTACGCTGAGATCTTTACTGAAAACAAATGGCTTAGGAAAAAAAAGAAAAAAGAAAAAGGAAAAAAAAAGGACAGAGAAAGAATGAAACAAAAAAGAAAAAAGAAAAAGAAAACAAAAACCAAGGAGCATGCAAATCTGTCAAGCTCTCTCCATATTAAGCCCTTTGGCTTCCACAGGGAGCAGGAACAGACTAAGTTCTTTAATGGATATGTAATTCCCTCATGCAGATTGTGCCTTACTAATTGCACACTTAGCTCTAGTCTCACCTGATTGTGATGTCAGGGAGACACTTGTTACCTATGTTTTAGAGAGGCATTGAATTTAGAAACTAAGTGACCGTCTGAGACTGAGACTGAACCATCTCATGCTTGGTGGAAAAGCTGTGTTGGAAACTAGGTGTTCTGCAGTCCCACCCCCATGTGTCATGTCAGATCTTCTCCCACCTGTAAAGCTGTCTATGAGGCATGGATGACCATTGAGTATGTCTCAGTCTCAGCTCTGGAGAAGGCAATATAGGGACTGTCAACATTGATCTTCAGAGGGGCATATGGGGACATTCATTCCTTTCCCTAGGACCTCACTAGGGTTTATAACAATCCCTGATAAAACTGACAAGAGGGCTGCAAAAATAGATCTAGTAATTTTGAGAGGAAGCCCACAGCTCTCGAGTTTTCAACAAGGATTAGATGAGAATAGGAACACAAACATCACTGTGTCCTTTTGTAAATAATATCTTAATCTTCAGAGTAGCTCTTAGAGATAATCTGCCTTTGAGTTGACAGAGCAATGAGAGCCAGACAGCTCTGACTCAATCCTTCAGTCATGTGGCATCAGTGCCACATTTTGATCTGGTCATCAGAGAGGCTTTTGAGGTAAGCCTCTGTTGGTGTTTGAGGTGGGGTTAGGATAAAAAGTGAGGGTTACTGGGCTCTCAACTATGAGACTCTAGACATTTTGGTCAGATGATTTTTGTGTTGTAGGACATCTTCTTGTACTTTCTTTGTTTTAAAACACATTTAGAGGAAGCTAAAGAAATGCTCATAGCACTGACTACTCTTTCAGGAGACCCAGGTTCAGTTCCACATGTTGGCTTACAAATATCTGTCATTTCAGTTCCAGAGGCTCTGACAACCTCTTCTGACCTCTGTGGGCACCAGACATACATATTGGATACATACATACAAGCAGGTAAAACACTCCTACGTATATAAAGGGAAAATGGATGCTTAGAAACAACCTTGTACCTGACAGTATATACCCTACATAGTTATGACAATCAAAAAATATCTTTGGACACTGTAAAGTATTTCCTTGGGGGAAGTGATGGAGCAGAAAAATCTATTCCCAATTAAAAATCATTTAATTACAGCGATACAGGGTAGTTCCCAATGAATAGCTTTTATTTTGCTTGACCAGGGAAGTAGGATCAAGGAAAAGAATGCAGGGATAAATCATTAAAGGTTGAGTTTCAACTAGAAATTTGATACTTAAAGAACTTTCCAAGAAACACTAAAGCTTAAGGCCAAAGCTGTCAGAAAACAACACATAGATTTTTTTAATTCTGTATTTTATTTATTTACATTTCAGATGTTATCCCCTTTCCCCATTTCCCCCATCCCATTAACCCCTATTCCATCCCTCCTCCTCCTTTTTTGCTTTTATGTCATTTAAATTACATGCAAGTATTAAGGTCAGTTCTAGGGTGAGGAACTTGCAATACAATAGATGCAAATAGTCAAGGAACAAGCAAGACAATAAACCCAGATAGTCAACGAACAAGCAAGACAATAAACAGAGTCCAATGATCACTCCTGTGATCACTATTTCTAAGGGCTTATCAGGATGACCAAAATATCTGAGCCTACTTCCCTGTCTTAGTCCAAAGTCACTTTCATGCCTGAAGCCTACTTCTTTGTTCTAGCTTAAGTTTTAGATTCCTGCCTGTAATTACTTCTTTGTTCTAGCCTAGGATTTAGATTCCTGCATGAAATTACTTCTTTGTTCTAGCCTAAAGTCAGATACCTTCCTGCAGTCCATTTCCTTGTCCTTGGCCAGTGTCAGATTTCTTCCAAGCAGCCCATTTTCTTGTCCTTGACCAATGTTAGATTCCTACCAGGGAGCCCCAAAAGCTCTTCACATCTCCTCCCTTTCTATTGCATAAACTAGACTCAGCCTGTCTTAGGTGGTTCTGACAAGAATGCCTCCCTTACCCATCATGGAATATGCATTATCAAAAGCAATACACTTCTGTCTGAGGTTGGTAAGGCTCTGTGTAGAATCTTACCCAACCTTGGCTTGCCAGTCTGTTAATTTAATAACTCTGTCTGGGGGTCCATTTTCAGTTTCAAGTCATGTACTTTGGCTGCTAACATGTTGTTGTTAGAGACAAACTTTAACATGATGGGCAGGAATAAAAGTATTCCCAGGACAAAAAGGGATAACATGTTCAAGCTATATATGCCATTCTTGATGTTTGACCAAAATGGAAATACTGATCTCAAGCCATGGATAATTTTATCAGCATTATCTGCAGCATCAAAGCTCAGCAGATCAGCATTCTTTAAATTTATAATCTCACTATGCAAAGTTAAAACATCCAGAGAGGTGTCAGAATTATGCCAAATACCCTACAAGTGTCTTTAAACTTTTTTCTAATTATAATGCCTATCATTGTAAATTTTAGAAGTAACACAACTCCAATGGTATTTGTCATGACACTCGAGATGGCTCCTAACTCTTAAACCCTGAACCTCCTTCTGATAATTTGAATAGGATATAGAGCATCAATCCATTGCTCCACACACCTATATAAATCCTCTTGTATACTTACATTATCCTATATAAATCCTCTTGTATACTCACACACCTATATAAATCCTCTTGTATACATTAGTAACATTTTTTTTGCTAAATGATTAACAAAAGTAGCTGTCATAACTTTTTGTGTCAAAGCTATTGCAGAAGCAGTGGTGCTAGCAATTAATGTAATTAAAGCTGTTATACCAGCAATAATCAAGCCCACTACCCTCTTGCTTCTGCTTAAAGCCTAACTCACTTCTTTCAGCACTTTCAAGTTTTTTTTTTTTTCAGAAAATCAAGGTTTTCTAATACTCAGGCAGTAAGACAAAAGGTGGTTGATAGATCCCCATAACAGACACTACAGGTTTCAACATGCTAACACAATTAGAAAGTATACAGTCAATGCAAGTATACAGTCAATGCAACTTACAATAAATGCTGAAGAAAAGACAAAAGTAATTTTAACTTGACAATTAAAAGAGCCTTAACACATGCACTGACACTTGTTTGAAATCTAGATCCTGTTCCAGCTTTATCTCTTGTTATCATAACATCATCGAGAACTGCAGCTAACTTCCAAATACGTCTCTGAAACTGTCCAGATCCCGCCTTTCAAATGAAGACTGTTATTTCCAATATTGGATTGATTTCTAGACCAGTACATGATTGAATCCAAATAACTGGTCCCCTTTAAGAAAAATACAAGAGTCATTATAACTTCTCTTTTTGATTCTCTGTTCCACAAAGTCTAAAATCTTGAGACAAGGCATCTTGTCCCATCTGGGATATAGGCAAGCAAAAGTGGGTCAGGAACATATGTCCAATACAGCTTCCCAGTAATCCTTGTCTAAAGCTTAAGGCCAAAGCTGTTAGAAAGCAAATAGATTTTAAACAAGGTAGAAGTCATCAAAGTGACTTACCAGAATTTGTCTTGCTACATTGTGACATGTCCCGGTACATTGTCTTGGTACATTGTTATTGGACATTATGACAAATCCTGCCAGAAAAAACTGTTCAGAAGACAAGAGGTAATAGTTAACAGGTGCTACATTTAACCTGTCTACAACACAATCTTCTTTGGGTTTTCAAACTGCTCGTAACAACCCCCAACTCCACCCACAAGAGCATCTAGTCTTTCAAGCCTGAGTGTTGGAGAGAAAGGTCCTTGTTTTTAATTCCATCTGTAGGAGTTGGTATTGGTACCTGGAGACATTTGGGTCTTAGAACCTAAAGTCCTTATGCTTCAGTACAGAGAGAGGGAAGTTACTGTTGGTATCTTCCTCTGCTTTACCTGGCCTATTTACCTCTGAGTCACTCTCAAATCTTTTCTTCTCTTGGGGCCGCACAGTACTGCCATCCTTTTCTTGGTAATTGCAACTTCTTCCCAATTGATTTTTCCAGGATGGCTGTCATCATTGAATTAATTTTATACTCAAACCCCACAATATACTCTAATAAGAACATATCTTTTAGCAAAAGTACTTTCCTTAAAAATCACCGATAGTTAACCTTTTCTTTTATATTGAAGTTACACAAATACATGTTCATTGTTACCTTCTTCACAGTCCCTAAGAAATAGAATCAGCTTAGATGCCCATCAGATAATGAACAGACAGTAAATGAGTGGATCCATTTTATGCATAACCATGTACTTTTCTTGTGGTTCTTTCCCACAACACACCCTTAGCTTGTGCTTTCTCTCAGAGCCAGGGGATGCATACATTCCTTCTACCTCAACTAATGAGAACCCAGGCATGAAGCACACCTCTGTACCTGACACCAGGCGGATCCTCCACTAACTCCTCATACAGTTTCTTGGAGCACTTAGCATGATTGTAAAAGTAACAGTACTTACAGACCTGAGACACTACTAAGCAGATGTAGTTATGCATTTAATGAATGTCTTCCCCATGGAGAGTGGATTTTCAAAAGGCAGTAAGTACAACTTTATTAAAATTCACACCTGTGGCTCTCACAAATCATACAGTTGGAGAGTGAGGAGTTAAGGACTGGGTTCATTTGGTTCTTTACACTAGAGTGAGTGTAGTTGAGAAATCATATTAATTTATTGGAAAAGTGAAAACTGTTACCAGTTGTTTTTGAGATTCAAACTATTGAAAAGCCATGGAATGCTTACCAAAACACAGTACTGGTTTTAATAGAGACAGTGGTCTCATTAGTTTCTTATTTCAGTTGTTTATTGGTTGATTGACATGCATTCATTCACATATCTCATATCTCAAGCATGATTATAATTTCTGAGAACATCAAAGCAAGTAAAACAGACCCATTCTTACCCTTGTGTATGTTTTGATTTGAGATGTTCTAATGAGTTTACCCTTAAGTGTTCAGTACAGGATTAGGAACCAAGGCTATAGGGTTCTGTGGAACTAGCATTGTGCTAAGAACAGTATGATGATTCTGTGATCACCCATGAGTTACAGTCATAAAAACCCTCTGGGGATAAGAAGGGTGCTGAGCTACAGTGATCCTAAATTGTTCTTTCTCACTGAGTCTGGTTATTCGAGTGCTTCATGCATGTGTTCCAGCTACCTATGTTCAAACTCACTCATTTGCACAAGATAAAGTAGGCTATCTATCCATTTCATCTCCCAGATAGGTACTGCCAGATGTACTATACCTATGGGCTTTAGAAAACTGCTCTGTGCCTAGGGACAGTTGTTTCTATAAGGTGCTAGAAAATGGCTAGTGGAATAATATGGGATAACTTCTTTTGCCATGGAGTGGACTGCCTATTTGATATCCTGGAAGGAACACATTTGTAAGATTTATTGTCATAGAGATAAATCCAAATATGTTAGTCTTTATAGCAATTTCTGACAAATTCTTAGCAGATGGTACTTACCATAACTGCTCCCCAGAATGGATATCCTGTGAGGATCACGAGAGGAAATTTTTTGGATGAAAAGATGAAATTAAGTGCTAATATAATTCCAAAGACTACAATAACTAGAGAAAGAAGAATCTGGATAGCCTGGAAAGAGAAAATGAACATGAGCTGACCAGAGCCTAGGACTGTGGGCTTCCCCAGACATACCTCAGTCAGGATGACTGTGATCACCTGACTCTCCTGCATCCACCTCCCAAAGCTGGATGGCAGGCTTATGTCACCATACTCTACTCCTCTTGTGTACTTTAAATACCCCAACCCAAACATGTCCCATGTCTCCACTACGCTTGAGTCCCCTCTAATTTTAATTCTACACTTTCTTCCTTTACTGTTTCCAAGAATCGCCAGTATATCTTGCAGCATACATATTTGAATTCATGTGGGATTAAACCTAGTTTTGTAAGTGATTGTAAGCTTTTTGAGGACAGGTCCCACAAGCGATTCTCTTACATCCCTTCCTCCTGTCTCACTGACATCTTATAATTAGCCTCCACACTTCCAATGTTAAGTGTAGTCATTTCTTGGTTTGCATGAGGAATTGGGTGGGAGGTGTGGTTCCAGGATTAAATTCTGAGGAAGTTTAAGTCTCTTGTATTCAAAATGTCATAATATTTGTAGATATTCTGTACATATTCTCTTCTTCATACACTTTTTGTTGTTCAGACAGGGTCATCTCCTGTATTCAAAACTGTCCTCAAACTCACTGTGTAGTACAGGATGACTGTGATCACCTGACTCTCCTGCATCCACCTCCCAAAGCTGAGATGGCAGGCTTATGTCACCATACTCTGCTCCTCTTGTGTACTTTAAATAGTTCTTTATGTGTGTAATGTGCCGTGCACATGAGCACCAGAAACTTTTAAGCATCATCTGCCTAGGAGAGAATACAATACTTAAGAGAATGTAAAAGCAGTAAGTAGTTGTTTGTTGTACTGTCTGTAGAATGGGTACAAGAAAACTAACTGTACATGTTCAGTACCCGCAAAATTTTAAAAAAGATTTTTTTCACTCTATGTTGGTTGAGCCTGTGGTTATACATTCTTTAGACCTAGACTCCACTGACAGAGTTTAATTTCACTTTCACTGACTGCTTAATTCTGTGTGAGGTATTGCTGCATCCTAGGGTCACTTCTTCAAGAAGATATTTAGAATAATTATATAGTTTCCTGCTTCCCTGTGCTAGAAATCAAAGATCAGAACTAGCCCTCCCAACCCACAATGAAACATCCCTAGGACCTCTCTGGAGTTAGATGAGTTACTAGAACAGTCACTCCTGAGAGTTACTTAATCCATTACCTCAGAAGCATTTCTGCATTGACAGATGAGAGCTAACATATAGACCCAAGACATACTGTGCATTGCACTTCTAAAGAGATCTTTTGTTTTTCTTTCTATTAATCAAAATCTGGGGAAGTGGCACATAGTGACTCTTCTCTTTGGATACAATTTTCTTGCACAAGGAAATGACTTAAATGTGATGCTTTCATATTTTTTTGGAAATTTTGTACATGTATATGATGTATTTATCATATTTAGCCCATTACCTTTTCTTACCCCCTCCTACTCATGCTGACTCTTTCTTCTTTCCAATTCCTCTTTCATTTTCAAGTCTGTTTTTGGTGACTGACTTTAATTAGAGATGCTTATTTCATGGGTTTATTGGAGCATGGGCAAATTAACTGGGTTATTTATTGGAGCATGGGCAAAACTTACTAGCAGCTACACTATTGAAGAAAATTACAGATCCACCCCACCAGCAACCACTAGTTGTGAATAGCTCCTTCAGGAAGGTGGAGATTTTTGAGCTTCCTCCACTGGAGGAAGGATATATTGCAGAAGAAAGGCCAGGGAAACTAACTCATTCTCTGAATGTTATTGCACAAAGCCACCTCTGTAGACAAAAATGGAGATACAACCCCTTCTCTCCCCTCTGGGTGACCCATGATAAGCAGAACTCACCCCTAAAAGTTTTGGCTCCCCCTTAAGGAAATCCAGCAGAGCGCTATGAGGTCTATATGGATAGGCAGTCAAGACAGTTTCATCTGGGTCTATAGTGATGACATGGTTCCTTCTCTTCTCCTCAGATGGTGACTCCATGATTCAGTGGCAGAGCTTTGTTAGGAGAGGAGCGAAAGGATATTGCAGCAATAATCATGATGTATTTCTTCCCTAAGGCCCCATTGAGTCCTCTGCAATGAGCCCTTAGTAGTTACATAGTACTAGAACCACAGAATCCCAGTCATTGAGTCATAGACTATGAGAATTCTAGAGTGTGCCAGCCCTCTCGATTCTTACAGATGAAACCTGGAAAGCTTACTCTAATATCTGATTGCTTGAAAAGCATATAGTAAACACAAAATTAGATAGATGGCACACACAAAAGGAGAGTGCCTGTGTCTGTATTCATATATATGCATACCTACACATATACATACATACATGCATACATGCACACACATATATTTCACAATTATGCTCTGATACTCTACCAAATACTAATTATAACTACACATGGTTTAGAATTTTGTTTTTCAGGCTAATCTTTTATATTCATGTGTTTGTTGGGATTTCAAATGTCAAATCACCAAGGCGAACAGTTTAATAAGGCCAAACATGAATTATGCAAGTATCATCTTAGATATTTCCTAGACTACTGCAATCACAAATAAGTTGTGATAAAAGTTAAGTGTTTCTTAACTTTTGCATGTTGCTGTTTGGACATACTACTTCTCTTGAATTTGCTTATGAAACATAAAGGAACTAAGCCTTTGTCATATCTGGTATGCCCCAGGCCCTGTGCAAGGGGCTTGGTTTATTTCAATGTGCATTGCAGTGACACATTTGACAACATTCAGTGCTCGAATGGAGGAACAGAAGGGCCAAACTACCAAAGGATAAATACCAAGATAGATATAGGTGAAGGAGCCAGTCCTTCTGTCTCCAAATTCTGTTTTTACTGTTCAATCATTCTTCTTCCTTTTGCAAATGGAGTTTCCTTCTTTTAGAAAAAAAAAATGTGATTGTTTAACACTATGCCTTATAGTATAAAAATAAATAGCGGATTGTGACTATGTTTTCTAGCCTTTTAAGGATATAACAAACAAACAAACAAATAAACAAACAAATAAAACTAGTCAAGGAAACAAATGATCCAGTTATAAATGGGAAAGAGATCTAAACAGAGAGTTATACATAGAAGAAATAAAAGTAGGTAACAAATAGCTCAAAAAAGTGTTCATTATTCTTAACACTTAGGGAAATGAAAATTAAAACAACCCCTGAGATTTTTGTCTTACTCCAATCAGAATGACAAAGATCAAAAACATTGACAACAAATGCTGGTGAGGTTGTGGGGAAAGGGGAATCTTCATTCACCGTTGGAAATGCAAATTAGTGCAACCATTCTGGAAATCATTGTGGTGAATTCTCAAGGAACTAAAGATAAATCTACCCAGTGGCCCAGCTATACCACTCCTTGGCATATGCTCAAAGGAGTTGACATCCTATTCCAAAGATGCTTCTCAACCATCTTCATTGCCACACTATTCACAATAGCCTAGAAATGGAAACAACACAAATTCACTTCATCAGAAATAGATGATAATAGTATGGTACCTATACAAGATAGATTGCTGTTCAGCTATAAAGAAAAGTGAAATCATGAATTATGTGGACAAATGGATGGACTTAGAAAAGATTATATTGAGTGAAGGAACTCAAGGCCAGAAAGACTAATTGCCACATGTTCTATCTCATCTGTGGTTCTTAAGTTCAATTAGATGTGAGTGTACAATATGGAGTAACTACAGAAACCAAGAAAGTGTAAAGGGACCATGGTGAGGGGCCTTGACATGAAAGTAATACATACAGGTAATATGTACAAGATACAAGCAATATGAAGCAGGAAATGGAAAAATGAGAGGAGACTGAAATTTGGAAGTTGGAGGGGTGGTTACTACAGAAGGAGAAGGGATTGGGACAAATAACACAAGTTTGTTTGATAAAGCCTAAAGGAATCTTACTATTCTATATTTATCCAAATTATACATAGTATATATAAATGTATGCCTTTTCATCTATCTATCTATCT